GATCACCAGACTGGGCCACAGAAACGCCTGGCAGGGGACGGCTAGTTCAAAATAAATGAAGACTATAAAGTGTTGTCTAAAGCCACACAAGGGCACCTTGTTCTTTTCTAAAAGCATAGGAAAAATATGAACAACAAAGGAGGAAATATATCTGAAATTATAGAGTGAACCTTAATATAAAGATATATCTGCTGTCTAATCAATTCTCCTTATTGACTGAAGATCCTAGTTGCTTAAGTAAACCAAGGCATTCATCTGCAGCAATGAAGGACAAAAAATAGCTTTTTGAGAATAAAATAGAATATGAAAAAATAGTGCCAATCTCAGAAACAGATGTTAGGTATAATAGATGATTCATCTGTCACAGTTTGCATCATAATACATTAAAGGGATTGTATAAAGTAATGTATGCTTTCAATATTAATCATCCAGCATTCTGGAACGTGATGCAGAAACAAAATGCTGGAAGTTTAAAACTAGGATTCCAACAGACTGAAAACAAATTTGCTTGGGCATAATTTGTATTATTAACTAGCTATCCCCTGCCACACATTGCTGAGGCCCAGTCTTGTGATCTGGAATATAAAGTAATGAGAAAGTGTTGGTTTCTAATATATGTAATGTCTTTCTGCTTGTGGGTAAACAGTATTTCTTGGTGTTTCTTTGTCAGTGTTGATGTGGAGATTGTTTGGTTTGCCTACTCTGGAACAGGCAACATATCATTGTCCTTCTTTACGGGTCCCTTTCAAATCTATGATACTATATTTGTGTGTGTGTGTGAATCATATCTATCTATCGCTATGGCTGGATGGTTCTTTGTGAGGAGGGCTTTTATTAGGTTTTCTTGCCCTGGTGAAGGGAGTTGGACTGGATGGCCTTAAGCAGGGATCCTCAAACTAAGGCCCGGGGGCCGGATACAGCCCTCCAAGGTCATTTACCCTGCCCTCGCTCAGGGTCAACCTAAGTCTGAAACGACTTGAAAGCACAAAACAACAATCCTACCTCATCAGCCAAAAGCAGGCCCACACTTTATTATTTATTTATTCATTTATTTAGAGCTTTTATAACCCGATCTTCTCAACCTCCGAAGAGGGACTCAGGCCGGTTCACAACAAGAGATTCATAAACAATAGTATAAAAACATCACACTTCATAATATACTAATCCATAAAATACATTAAAATATAAACATAAAATTACTAGGCTTGGGCGGTTTCATTCATTAATTTCGTAATTCGTTATTAATTCGTATTTAAATTAGCTTACGATCCGATATTGAGCCATGCAGGACTACTGTGAGGAGTAATTAAAAATCAAAACAATTTTTCCAATTTATTTCGTATTGTTTCGTAATTGTTTCATAATTGTTTCGAAATTGTTTCGTAATTATTTCCGTATGTCTGGTGCAAGTTTTATAGTTGTTGTTTGTTTTATCAGTGATAAAAAATAAATTATCACACCAACAGTCAACAACAGAGGGAGAGGGAAGCTTCAGAAGTTCCCCCTGTCCCATTTGGAGGGTTTTTTAGCATATTGCGCAATCGCGTCCGCCATTAACGAATCGATTCGTAATTTTACAAAATTTCATATATTTCGAACTTTTTAAAAGGAAAATTTCGGAATTCTTTAAAAAAACAAAACGCAAGGGTCCCCTAAAAACGAAACGAGTTTAGAACCAAATTTTTCCATTGTTACCCAAGCCTAATAATTACATAAGGCCAAGTCTTCAGAATGAAATCACAATTCAACACCATCTGTCCATGTGGTCAAGAGTTATTGACTCACTCATCAAATGCTATATTCCAAAGCCAAGTTTTCACCAGCTTTCTAAAAGTCAGAAGAGAAGAGGCAGTTCTAATCTCCAGTGGGAAAGAGTTCCAGAGCAGAGGGGCCACCAACGAGACGCGCTTGCGAGGGTGGTGGGACCGAGAGCAGGGCCCCTCCAGAAGATCTTAACAACCTTGATGGTTCGTAGGGGAGAATCCGTTCAGACAGGTAAACTGGGCCGGAGTCATTTAGGGATTTATAGGTCAACACCAGCACTTTGAATTGTGCTCGGAAGCTAATTGGCAGCCAGTGGAGCTGGCGCAACAGAGGAGTAGTATGCTCCCTGTACCCCGCTCCTGTTAATAATCTGGCTAATCTTGTGTTTTCTGTTGGTCATGGGAGTCCTGTTATGCCACGCTTGGTTCAATTCCATCATTGGTGGAGTTCAGATTTATAGGTTAACTATAAATCCCAGCAATTACAATTCCCAAATGACAAAATCAACTTATTTTTAGTGATGGTCACTCCTTGGGTTAGTAGGTGTCTTGTGGCCAGATTTGGCAGCAATTCGTCCAGTGGTTTTTGAGTTATGTTAATCCTACAAACGAACATTACATTTTTATTTATATAGATGCACAAGCAATAAAAATGGCTTCACTGTTTGTTTCTTTGTTTTTGTTTGAAATACATTAATGAGGCAAAGTTTCAAATACTTTTTCAGGCAATAGGATTGACAAAATGGAATTCACAAATCTTTGCAATGTACTTAACAATACCAATCCTCCCCAACTCTGTGAACGAGGCAAGCCACTATTCTACCTCTACTAGGGAGTGGCTGGAAAACAATAAACATACCAACTACACACGAACGAACTAACTCACATTTGAACCCAAATCTAAGATGGCCACCGCCTTAAAGTCGTTCTGCTTAAGATCAGGTTAATTTGTTCTTAAGCGAACTTCATTAATTCCAGAAAGGTGTAATAGTTCATTACATTACATTACTGCGATATCCCGAGGTACAACTGGAATTAGATGAGCAACTATAATGAGTTAAAATTACCTCTTGTACCATTTTACTGGGCTAAAGAGGAGAAAGCCATCAATGGGTATTTATCATAAAAGACATACAGAACAATGGCTAAAATGGGTTCGGGAAGCAAGATCATCTTAGAACGGAAACAGAACTTGAAGTTTGGATCCCAATCTTGGGTTTTCCAGATCTTACTGAACTATAGTTCACACCAGTTTGGGGACTTGGTCATGTTCATCTATCTATATATAAATGCTCTGTGCGTAATGAGTACCTTAAAAAAAAAAGAACCAATGAACGAAATCACACCAAATTTGGCAACAAAACGTCTCACAACACAAGGAGTGACCATAACTCAAAAAATAATGACTTTGTCATTTGGGACTTATAGTTCACCTATAATCAAAGAGCATTCTGAACTCCGCCAATGATAGAATTGAACCAAACTTGGCACACAGGACTCCCCTGACCAACAGAAAACACTAGAAAGGTTTGGTGGGCATTGACCTTGAGTTTTGGAGTTGTAGTTCACTTACATCTAGAGAGCACTGTGGACTCAGACAATGATGGATCTGGACCAAACTTGGCATGGATACTCAATATGCCCAAATATGAGCACAGATGGAGTTTGGGGAAAATAGACCTTGACATTTGCAAGTTGTAGTTACTGGGAATTATAGTTCACCTACTACCAGAGCATTCTGAACCCCTCCAACGACAGATTTGGAGCAAACTTCCCACACAGAACCCCCATGACCATCAGAAAATACTTCAGGCCATCCAGTCCAACTCCCTTCACCAGGGCAAGAAAATGTAATCAAAGCCCTCCTGACAAAGAGCCATCCAGCCATAGATATAGATAGGTTAGATATATAGGATTCACACACAGAGATATATAGTATCCTAGATTTGAAAGGGACCCCTAAATAAGGACAATGATATGTTGCATGTTCCAGACAATCTCCACATCAACAGTGACAAAGAAACAGCACGAAATACTATTTACCCAGAAGCAGAAAGAAATTACATATATTAGAAACCAACACTTTCTCATTACTTTATGTTGGTACGGCTGTACCAGGAGCTCCAACTTTATTTGCTTTGTATTAAATGTTTGCTTGCAGTCCTAGGTTTCAGGGGTTCTGCAGAAAGGTGGCTTCCTTTGGTTGCAGTCATAGGGCAAGTCACCTGTCTATCATCGTTAAGTTTTGGTTCTGACCCTTGCTCAGGGCAATTGGGAAGGGAAGGGAGCCATTTTTAGTTAGTCTCAGTAAGGAAAGCTAATGTAGAGGACATGTTCAAGCTTCTCCTGTACAAAAGCTTCAACCCTTAAGACTTTCTGGGGGAGAACAGTCTTAAGAGCATCCAAAGATCTCCAAAGATTTCCAGGGAAACATCCCCAAAGCTTTGAGGAATTTCGGAGGGTGAACAGTTTGAAAGACCAAAGAACTCTAGCTGGAGAATCTACTGGCCTTACTGGTAGGTCCACTCGGTGCTCAAGACGCAGTTCGACCCTGTAGCGGAGCCCACATCAGTAAGGCTTAGATTACAGTCAGCCTGGGAGAAGTTAAAAAGCGATTTTCCTTTAAAGTCAAGAAACAGTTATTGAAGACAATTGCCTGTCCCTTGTGGACAAGATTAGGAAGCCACCAGTTGCATAAAGGCTTGGAAGCATTTCTTTACTGAAGACAAGAGAAGTTTCTGTTTGATTGTTCATTAATAAAGGACTTTGTTATACTTCACAAGCCATCTAAAGACCATTTGTGGTGGAAAATCCTTGAAAACTTCTCTTCAGGGGCCCCTGGCTTTCCGCTGGGCTCAAGTCGCACGTCCTATTTAAAGGCAATTATTTACAGGCCCAGCGCGCGACAAAACATACTTTATTTTCCAGATCAACAGACTGGGCCACAGCAACGCCTGGCAGGGGATGGCTAGTTCAGCCCACACATCTTATAAAAACAAATACATTTTTCTAGAATCAACAGGCGGCCACTTTTTCTTTGTTCTTTACATATTCTAACTACACTCCCTGCTAGGACAGCTTAATGAGGGAGTTGACATTATGAAAAGAATATAAAATCCACCTTGGTTTTGCAGAAATATTGTGTCAACTGAGGCAGTCACAAATCTAAGCAATCTGCTCATCAACATGGTATGTGCAACTCTAGTGTGGCAAACAGTCTCAAATCACTTCGCTTACCTGCCGCAAGAGCGACTGCCACGGCCTGCTGATTTGCAGCACACAGAATCTGCACGCCAACCGGGAGAAGAGGGACTGTCTGTTTCACGGTGGCACAAATGACCGCCATGGCTGCTGTAATTTCTGCACCAATGCTGACTGCATATGGCCGGTCGTGCATATTTTCTACAATTAAACCGTCCTGTGGGAATTAATAACAAAGTAAGCCTGTTAAAATCACAAGAGCTGCTGAAAAAGAGCCAGCCTGGAAAAGAGTAGATAGATTTGGAGATTTATTCATTCATTTATTTATTTATTTGCCGTGTCAGGGCAACCAGTCAATTGTATTACATTTCTAACAGAACAAAACAAACAAACAGACAAAACCACAAAATTTGCAAGCTTGTTATTTTATTAAATGTCCTTTGACCAGTATCTGGCCACTTGGAGTGTTGCTATAAGGTCCTCCCTTGTGCATGTGGTGGGGCTCAGGTTGCATTGCAGCAGGTGGTCAGTGGTTTGCTCTTCTCCACACTCGCATGTCATGGATTCCACTTTGTAGCCCCATTTCTTGAGGTTGGCTCTGCATCTCGTGGTGCCAGATCGCAGTCTGTTCAGTGCCTTCCAAGTCGCCCAGTCCTCTGTGTCCCCAGGGGAGAGTCTCTCATTTGGTATCAGCCATTGATTGAGGTTCTGGGTTTGAGCCTGCCACTTTTGGACTCTCGCTTGCTGAGGTGTTCCAGCGAGTGTCTCTGTTGATCTTAGAAAACTATTTCTAGATTTAAATTGCTGACGTGCTGGCTGATACCCAAACAAGGGATGAGCTGGAGATGTCTCTGCCTTGGTCCTTTCACTATTGACTGCTACTTCCCGGCGGATGTCAGGTGGTGCAATACCGGCTAGACAGTGTAATTTCTCCAGTGGTGTAGGGCACAGACACCCCGTGATAATGTGGCATGTCTCATTAAGAGCCACATCTACTGTTTTAGTGTGGTGAGATGTGGTCCACACTGGGCATGCATACTCAGCAGCAGAGTAGCACAGCACAAGGGCAGATGTCTTCACTGTGTCTGGTTATGATCCCCAGGTTGTGCCAGTCAGCTTTCGTATTATATTTTTTCTAGCACCCACTTTTTGCTTGATGTTCAGGCAGTGCTTCTTGTAGGTCAAGGCACGATCCAGAGTGACTCCCAGGTATTTGGGTGCGCTGCAATGATTTGGAGATAAAGCTCAAGGAATTGGCATTGTAATTGTAACAAAGCAGGACATCAGTCCAACTAAGTGCAGAACCAGGAGCCTTAAATAGTCGCCTGAGAATTCTTTGTCTTCATTTCTAGAAACATAAAAAGTACTCTCAAATGTGTGGGCTGAATGGCTTGCCTTGTTCACATTTCTATTCTGCATGGAAAAACGTTTTCATTTCAATTATCATGCAAAGTACGACATAAACAGACATAAACAGAATCCAGACAAGAGAGAGGTCCTTCTGGACAGTCGCAAGGCCAAACAGGGGATAGGGTCACAGCCTGTGCTGGATGGGGTCACACTTCCCTTGAAGGCGCAGGTTCATAGGTTGGGAGTTCTCCTGGATTCATCACTGAGCCTGGAATCCCAGGTTGCAGCGGTGGCCAGGGGAGCGTTCACACAGTTAAAACTTGTGCGCCAGCTGCGCCCGTACCTTGGGAAGTCAGACTTGGCCACAGTGGTCCACGCTCTCGTTACATCTAGGATAGACTACTGCAATGCACTCTACATGGGGTAGCCTTTGAAGACTGATTGGAAGCTTCAAATAGTCCAACGAGAGGCAGCCAGGATAATAACTGGGGAGGCATACAGGGAGCATACAACTCCCATGTTACGCCAGCTCCACTGGCTGCTAGTTTACTCCCAGACACAATTCAAAGTGCTGGCTTTGTCCTATAAAGCCCTAAACGGCCCCAGCCCAGTTTACCTGTCTGAACGCATCTCCCTCTATGAACCATCGCGGAGATTAAGATCTTCCGGGGAGGCCCTGCTTTCTGTCCCGCCATTGTCATAGGCACGATTGGTGGGGAGGAGAGACAGGGCCTTCTCGGTGATTGCTCCCCGGCTATGGAACTCCCTTCCTGGTGAGATCAGGTCAACCCCCCTCCCTCCTGTCCTTTAGAAGGATGGTCAAAACTTGGCTGTGGGACCAAGCTTTCAGGACAGGGCAATAAAGAAGCAATAGGAAAGATGACCAGACCAATTAGATTAGATGCAGATAACTAGGACAGTTTTAAATGGTGTATTTTAATATTTTGATAAATATTTTTAATGTTTATGTATTGTATGTGAATTTGTGCCCCGGCATTGAATGTTTGCTGTGTATATGCTGTCCTCCCCGCTGAGTCCCCTGAGTTGGGGTGAGAAGGGCAGAATATCAATGTTTAAAATAATTAATAAATAAATAAATAAACACACTGGCATAGTTGCCACCTATAAGAGTGTATAAATAGATATTTATGAGGCATTCCTTTCTGCTCTGTTCCTTCTACCTAACACAGGCCTTCTAGTTTTACTGAATTTAATGTATTGTCGAAGGCTTTCATGGGTTGTTGGGTTTTTTCGGGCTGTATGGCCATGGTCTAGAGGCATTCTTTCCTGACATTTCGCCTGCATCTATGGCAAGCATCCTCAGAGGTAATGAGGTCTGTTGGAACTAGGAAAAAGGGTTTATATATCTGTGGAATGAGCAGGGTGGGACAAAGGACTCTTGTCTGCTGGAGCTAGGTGTGAATGTTTCAACTGACCACCTTGATTCGCATACAATGGGCTGACTGTGCCTGGAGCAAACTTTTGTTGAGAGGTAATTAGATGTCCCTGCCTGCTTCCTCTCTGTTGTTGTGCTGTTGCAATTTTAGAGTTTTTTAATACTGGTAGCCAGATTTTGTTCATTTTCATGGTTTCCTCCTTTCTGTTGAAATTACTGAATTTAGCCTTACATCCTCTGAATCTGCCTTGATGCCTTACATTATGCCACAGTACTATTAGACAGTCAACTAAAAGAGTAGAACAGAAAAACTGATATGGAAATTTGAGCTTAAACCCATAACAAAGCACATTTCATATTATAATTTAGCCAGATTAAGAGCAGACAAAGTTCTTAAAAACCTTTTTTTTGCTGAACCTGAATATCATTCACGTTGCACACTAAATTAATTTGGTCACCTCTCAAGCGACTACATTTCTATTATTTATCTGCATTGTGTTTTTGTTTGTGGAAAACATAACAACAGCAATAAAGTGTTCTTAAGATGAGTATTTGTGCTCACATCCCTATTCCAAACAGCTTGTCTACCCCAAAAAATCACATCAGCCACCTATTATGGGGAGAAGAGCTTTTCAAGTTATTGTAGGGAAAAAAGGGTCTTAAAAGCCGGAGAGCGCGTTCAAAAGCTATAGCTAAAAATAAACCCTATCACTTTTCAATGTACAAAGTGCTTTACCATTCTTATCAAACTTATTAAATATGACAAGAAAATGAAAGGAACTAGATTAGAGAAGCGTGGAGGACAAAGGGATAATTATTTCTTTCATTTCCCACATAAATAGGCTTGGGATGATCAGGACTCGGAGACAGAGGGCCAATCAGCCGCACATCACAATCAAGAATTATTTCCAGTCCACATGGACCAGGCGCACCAAGAGGCAGAGCTTGTGTTGCCCCAAAAGACTGACCAAAACGCCACGCAGAAAGGAAGGTTTTAAATGAAGCATGTCCTTGTTTTCTAGATGCCATTAGTGATCCTTGATTGTTCAAGCAGTCCTTAATATAACTTCCTTCTAAGTCACAGACATCAGAATAAATATCCCCTTTATTATTAATGGACAAATTTATAGCTCCAGTACTATCTATATAAATAAAAATGTAATGTTCATTTGTGGGATTACCATAACTCAAAAACCAGTGGGCCAATTGACACCACATTTGGACAGCATAGACCTAACAACCCAATGCATGTCCTTCACTCAAAATTTTTTGATTTTGTCATTTGGGAGTTGTAGTTGCTGGGAATTATAGTTCACCTACAATCAAAGAGAATTCTGAACCCCACCAACGATGGAATTGAACCAAACTTGGCACACAGTTCTCCCATGACCAACAGAAAATACTGGAAGGATTTGGTGGGCAGTGCCCTTTGGTTTGGGAGTTGTAGTTCACCTACATCCAGAGATCACTGTGGACTCAAACAATGATGGATCTGGACCAAACTCTGCATAAACACTCAAGATGCCCAAATGTGAACATTGGTGGAATTTGGGGAAAATAGAATCTTGACATTTGAGAGTTGTAGTTGCTGGGATTTCTAGTTCATCTACAAGCAAAGAGCATTCTGAACCCCACCAATGAAACAATTGGGCCAGACCTCCCACACAGAACCCCCATGTGGGCCACAGCAACGCGTGGCAGGGGATGGCTAGTCTATATAAATAAAAAGGTACTATTCGTTTGTGGGATTAACATAACTCCAAAACCACTGGACAAATTGACGCCAAACTTGGACAGAATATGACTAACAACCCAAGGAGTGACCATCACTTAAAAAAATGATTTTGTCATTTGGGAGTTGTAGTTGCTGCAATTTATAGTTCACCTACAATCAAAGAGCATTCTGAACTCTACCAATGATGGAATTGAACCAAATGTGGCACACAGGACTCCCATGACCAACAGAAAACACTAGAAGGGTTTGGTGGGCATTGACCTTGAGTTTGGAAGCTGTAGTTCACCTACATTCAGAGAGCACTTTGGATCTGAACCAAACTTGGCACGAATATTCCATATGCTCAAATATGTACACAGATGGAATTTGGGGAAAATAGACCTTGACATTTGGGAGTTGTAGTTACTGGGATTTATAGTTCACCTACAATCAAAGTGCATGCTGAACCCTACCAAAGACAGAATTGGGGCAAACTTCCCACACAAAACCCCCATGACCAACAGAAAATACTTAAGGGCATCCAGTCCAAATCCCTTCACCAGGACAAGAAAGCGTAATCAAATACTGTTTACCCACAACCACTGGACAAATTGTGCCAAATTTGGCCACAAGACACCCACTAACCCAAGGAGTGACCATCACTCAAAAAATTGATTTTGTCATTTGGGAGTTGTAGTTGCTGGGATTTATAGTTCACCTACAATCAAAGAGCAATCTGAACCCCACCAACGACAGA